GAGGCCAGGTCATCTGCCGCAGCACTCCATCACTCTCCTTCTTGGTCAAATAGCCCTTACACAGCCTGGAGGTGTGTTTGGGGTCATTGTCCTGTTGAAAAATAAATGATCGTCCAACTAAACGCAAACCCCATTGATAAAGCAAGAAATTCCACTACTTAACCCTGATAAGGCACACCTGTGAAGTGAAAACCATTTGAAAACCGTTTGATGCCTTCAGTGAGAATCTACCAATGTAAATGGTCTTGAAAATAAAGAAAACACATTGAATGAGAAGGTGTGTCCAAACTTTTGGCCTGTACTGTATATGTTTCTGTATTGAGCATATGGTAGATTCTGATAATATATGCAATGTATCCTGGGGAGTTCATTATATGGCGATCCTCCCCTCCATTTACTACTGTACCCCCTTTTCTGTTGTTGGTTGATTCTGAGTGTTGATAGCTTGTGAGCCATGTCAGCCATGGACCCCGAAGGGGGGCCACGCCCCTGGCGGACTAGAGGTGGAATTTCCCTAGCTTTTAGGGTTTTTGCCCTCCCTCCTAGGCTGGATGGACAGAATTGTGTGTGGGACTCTTTGGAGTCCCAAAGGGGGGAAATATATGGAAAATTATTTGGCACTATACAACACAAAATATAATCATTATAATATTATTAAAAAGCTTGCCAAATGCCCATGATGTAATCATTACAATGTAATCAACACAATGTAATCAACTGAGAATGTATTTGCAACCTTTGTCATCTGTTAGCTACTTTATGTTAGCCCTAAATGTATGAATATCCGTCTTTATTAGTGTTATTCCTTATCACTATGTTGAAGGACAAATATAATATCAACCCTCTAAATAGACAATGTGCAACAGGCTGAAGCTGCCAAGGTTTACTACTGAAGGAAGGGATTCACCAGAGTTCACCAGAAGTTCACGGCTGAGCATTTTTAAAAAACCATGTGGAGATGGTTGCGCCACCATTATGTTCGGCTGAGGGATCAAATGGTAAAAGAAATGATGAACAAACTTATCACCTAGGGTTGTGGATTAAGGGAAAAAAACAATGATTGTGAATGGTTGAAGGAATGATGATGCTTAAGTGATGAAATATTGTTAAATGATAAGAACTTGTATAAAAATTGGTGTAAAACCACAACAGGGGCAACACACTTTTGCCCCATTTTTAATATGCAACTGAAGATACTCATGCAATGCTGAAAAATTTGTAGACACATGGCTACAACCGTCATTTTCGTATGCTAAACCAGCTCCTTCTACATGTGCTACTGGTGTAACACCCCACCTGTGCAAGGGGATTTCAAGATCATTAAACATAGCAGGTGTAGCAGGACATAATCTGCTACCCCACAAGAAAATCTAAGTTTTAAAAGATTTCAGTGAATCTTCACGTGCTCCCTGAATGCAAGAACTGAAATTGTCCTAAATTTACAAACCTTACAGATGTAAGGTGTTACGACCCCCAGGGACAAGTTACTCCCTATAGGGGCGGATGTTTCTGTGTGGGGGGGTGTCATTCTGTTCCTGGCCCTGCCCACTGTTTCATCACCTTCCCCTCTGCTTTGATTGGCCGGGTTTCCTCCTATGTCCCAGATTCACTTCCTTTATAAGGCCTGTCCAGGCCAAGAAGAGGGAGGCCTCTTGCTTTGTACTTTGTTTGTTATTTGCTATATGATTGATGATTTATTGTGCTTGGCCCCTTTTGCTGTTTGACCATTGATTTCTGCCTAGCCCTTTTCTTTGGATTTGGTTGCTGTGGATTCTGTTCTGTAAACATCTGTAAATTTCTGTACATATCTGCACCCATTGAGGTTCTCCGTGGGTAGCTAGGGAAGTAGGGAGCACGACGCCATTTTGCTTTGATTAAGTTTTCTCACTGTTTTGGAATTAGTCAGGGAGATAGATTAGTTTTATGTACCTTTGTTTTCTGTTGTTTGGGTTAGGTAAGTGGTATCTTGTTTAGGTTCCAGTTAGAGGTGTTTTGTTTGTTATTTTGGCCTTGTCGGCTCCTGAAGTGGTTCCCACCATTAATAAACCCACCACAAATACCAAAATAGTGGTCTCACTCCACCTTTTGTTGCGTCTGACCCTAGACCGGGACGTAACAAAGGCATTTTGGTAAATTGACTACCATTTGCTGCCTGGGTGACAGGAATGTAACGGTCAATGACACTTACCAACTTCGCCGTATGGTGCTCTGGCTCCGTTCTGTTTGTCCTTGATGACAGCAAACAGTAACATCAAAGTATCCGGGTCCCAATCTCAGAGTTCACTCTTAAAATCGTATTGATTGTATTTGCTGGAAATAACATTTTACTTAAAATATTAATTTTTGCCGTAAAAACATTTGTACAATTCACATAAACAATGCAACATGGTACGTTTCCCAAAAGCATAGTTGCTGATTACGTTAGCCACTTACAGAGTAGGAACCTTGCAACTGAATCTAAGTTGCTAACGGGAGCTTTTGGGAAATGTGAACATATTTATCAAACTGAAGCATGGTAGCGGCAAAAATGAAAATAAAAAAGATGGTTAGCGAACAAAGCAGCTTTTTGTACTGTAGCCCACAAAAGCACTTCACACAAATAACCACACTACTATTACAAGTAACGGAGACACACAAGGTCTAACACTGCACTGCACTGTAAGGTACTAAAGTTCTAATATTTTAGTAATCAAACCACATAAAATTTCAGAATATCTCATTCACTTATGTGTAGCCAAAACCGGTGTCCATTAGCTCCAGAGTCTTGGCTAGAAATGTTTATGATGTCATTTAAAAAAAAAATTCCCAGCACTTCTGGAAATAGGTTTTTGAAAAGTGTATGTTTGAAGTTGAATAATGACATTCTGAGTGGTCTTAGATTATTGGTGCTGAGATTGTGCTGAGTAAAAGCATTTGTAGTATTTCTGGATAAATGTTTTTTTAAATTGGTGAAATATTTAAAAATGTCATGGCATGTTAGACTACCTCGAAAGTGGGTGAGAGGCCTCAGATTCCAGATGGTTAAACTGCAGCAGTACAGACTAAATCAGTCGCAGAACAGCTTCCCGAACACATGGACCCTTGGACTCGCAGAACACTCTGAAAGTTTGAATTAACTGTGTTTGGCTAAACCCAGGAACTGTAACATACCACCAGTACATTGAATGAGGATGGCTCCACACAATACGAGACTTTTGCTTCTTTCGTGTTGCCACCTGTGAATTAAAAGCTGCTATCAATACACACATAATGTGCTCTGCTGTTTAAAAATCAGCTAAGACAAGGTTAGATAGTTAATGTATAAGTAGTTGTGCACGTACTAGATGATGATGTGAGGCTTGTAAGGAACACTGACGTTGTCTTGAACATGGACATCTACAGCAGCATACTATTTAAAGTGATTCGCCATGCTAAAAGTAATGTAAGCATACACCAAATGTTTCTTCTGAATGTGATCAATGAAAGCAAGCAACTCTGGTACATATGTACTGGTCATGCCCCAGATTAAGTGAATCTACACTCACCTAAAGGATTATTAGGAACACCATACTAATACGGTGTTTGACCCCCTTTCGCCTTCAGAACTGCCTTAATTCTACGTGGCATTGATTCAACAAGGTGCTGAAAGCATTCTTTAGAAATGTTGGCCCATATTGATAGGATAGCATCTTGCAGTTGATGGAGATTTGTGGGATGCACATCCAGGGCACGAAGCTCCCGTTCCACCACATCCCAAAGATGCTCTATTGGGTTGAGATCTGGTGACTGCGGGGGCCATTTTAGTACAGTGAACTCATTGTCATGTTCAAGAAACCAATTTGAAATGATTCGAGCTTTGTGACATGGTGCATTATCCTGCTGGAAGTAGCCATCAGAGGATGGGTACATGGTGGTCATAAAGGGATGGACATGGTCAGAAACAATGCTCAGGTAGGCCGTGGCATTTAAACGATGCCCAATTGGCACTAAGGGGCCTAAAGTGTGCCAAGAAAACATCCCCCACACCATTACACCACCACCACCAGCCTGCACAGTGGTAACAAGGATCCATGATGGATCCATGTTCTCATTCTGTTTATGCCAAATTCTGACTCTACCATTTGAATGTCTCAACAGAAATCGAGACTCATCAGACCAGGCAACATTTTTCCAGTCTTCAACTGTCCAATTTTGGTGAGCTCGTGCAAATTGTAGCCTCTTTTTCCTATTTGTAGTGGAGATGAGTGGTACCCGGTGGGGTCTTCTGCTGTTGTAGCCCATCCGCCTCAAGGTTGTGCGTGTTGTGGCTTCACAAATGCTTTGCTGCATACCTCGGTTGTAACGAGTGGTTATTTCAGTCAAAGTTGCTCTTCTATCAGCTTGAATCAGTCGGCCCATTCTCCTCTGACCTCTAGCATCAACAAGGCATTTTCGCCCACAGGACTGCCGCATACTGGATGTTTTTCTCTTTGCACACCATTCTTTGTAAACCCTAGAAATGGTTGTGCGTGAAAATCCCAGTAACTGAGCAGATTGTGAAATACTCAGACCGGCCCGTCTGGCACCAACAACCATGCCACGCTCAAAATTGCTTAAATCACCTTTCTTTCCCATTCTGACATTCAGTTTGGAGTTCAGGAGATTGTCTTGACCAGGACCACACCCCTAAATGCATTGAAGCAACTGCCATGTGATTGGTTGATTAGATAATTGCATTAATGAGAAATTGAACAGGTGTTCCTAATAATCCTTTAGGTGAGTGTATATGTATAATCTAAATATGTAGATCTTATAATTTTGATCTTCTTTGCTCTCTCCTTATTATTATTATTATTTAATTTTTCTTTAATGCATGTTAATCGCTTGCAATGGTATGATGCCTGAATAGTGGGACGGAGCCCAAAGACTTGGGCATGGGATCAGGGTTTAAAATGTCTTGTTCTGTTCTGTTTTTTTTTTTGTTTCCTTTCTTTCTCTCTGTTAAAAATGTCAATAAAAAAAAAAGTTTGAGCAAAAAAAAAAAAAGTAATGTAAGCATTTGCAGTAAATTAAAAAACGTCTTGTGTTCATCACATCCCACATGGTCCTCCCTCTGTGTTGTCTTCACTTCCAAAACAGTACTCCTCCCATAGCAGCACACACACACTGTTCTACCCTTTTGGCACTAACTTTGTGTGAATGTGAGATGATTTTTTGTGAAGCCAGTTTGAGCTCCAGCTGAGCACCAGCACTAACTCTGGTAAGGGCTAAGTCTCCTGGGGATAGTAATGATATTGTGATTTTCTACAGTAGTGTACTTTGTACAGTACTGTGATTTTGTTTCATCTATAAGGTTTTCAGCAAAATGCACATTGCTTTACTAAGAAAATATGTACAATAAATAACTGTGCATGAACATGGTAACTTACTGTAGATTTTACAGCCATTTCAGAAAGTGAAATGCCGACTGGAACACAGTCTAACACTTCAGCACCCAATAATACAGGCTTAACTACGAATAGTGTAATAACTTCCAATCACGTAATAATTTGTCCATTCTCAATGTAATAAAAGTCAATTACTGTATGTTATAATTTACCAATAATATAACAACATTTCTAAATCAAAAATGTAATAACATTATAGACAAAAAGTTATTACATTATATTGACTGGTGCAGCACACATTAATGCAATACCTAAAACCAATGTATTAAAAAAAACATTACGGTATTGGCAGTCATTACGTTATTGGCTGCTATAAAGGTTTATTTGCAGGTTGCAGAGCAGTTATTTATAACAGTCATAGTAGCAGTCATTCGCAAATACCGGAGATTAAACCTAAGACCTCATTACATGGTAAGCATTGTCTTTGTTTCGGAGAGTTCCTTCTCAAACACATAAGAAAAGAATGAAGATATTCAGGATTCACGATTCAAGTGTTTCTTGTTTTCACTGCACTAATACACACCTAATGCCTGTTATTTATTTATTTATCTCCCGCAAGTTGTTTTTGTACTGGGTGTGGTAACAGTAAGCATTCCAATGTATAGCATTGGCCATCTAACAAATATCAAACAAATCCAATAATATAAATTAATCTGTTCAAGAACCAAAGTGCTCCTATGCATTTTAACGAAAGTGTCTAAATACTGTTTGCTGTAAAGTATTTTTCAACCCTTTAACCCCTTGCGCGTCCAGCCTGTCGCGAATTCGCTACAAACCGCGTCCAGTCTGAATGCAGCCAAAATAGCGTAGTTATCCCACTTATGCCGGTTGATGCATATGCGATACGTACCAAGGATCGTATTGGAAGCGCTTGTCATGCCATCAAGCTGTCGTAGCGAGAACTACATCGGACTAATGGAAGCGAAGTTTAGGCGCGGGTATGTGCATGGATTTTGCCTGCTAATATCGAGAAATTATCCAAGTTTGAGGTGAATTGTGCTAAGATAAAAATACGTACTAGTTTATTGTTTGCTTCTACTGCTGACATATCAGAATAGACTACATGATATGTTAATTTTAAAAAGTTATTTGCCGATTTCGGTTTGTCGCGTTTTCGCTATACATTTGACACTTATGGCCGCATATGAATATGCATATGAGTGCTACTGGTGCAAAAAGGCGATCAGAAGAAGACGACAAAAGGTAGTGTGGAAGACGGTGCAACAGCAGAACTCCGCAAAAGACATTACAATTTGGCAAGCTGTTCTTCCTGATGCTCATAAAATCAGACTGCCCATTCAGTACTTCGGAGACTTTTTTGATACTGATCTTTTGGATAGTATTGTAGAACAAAGTAATTTGCATTGCACGCAAAAAAAAAATCCAAATAATGCCCTCAAATTGGACAGAAATTAATTGGAGCCGTTTATTGGCACTGTAGTGTACACGAGTGCTGTACTTTTACCAAGGTCAAGAATGTACCGGTCCAGTGAATGTCGAGTAGCACAGGTGGCTGATGTGATGTCCCGAGATAGATGGGAAGAAATTAAGAAATTCGTTCATTTTAATGGCAACTGCAACAAGGCAGCCAATTATCAGGCCAATTATTGATTCATACCAGAGATACATACCAGAGACTGGAAATTTTGTTTAATTACTATTATGCCCAATTATGCCTAATGTTGCTAATTTGCATCATAGCTAAATTTATATTCATTGTATGTGCTATGTTCAAATTAACAATCTCCACTTAATTTAGGATCAGTTTGGCAGCAAATCACAAATGATTTTTCTAATATATTTGCAAATAAATTTAGGCATGAAGGGGTTAACAACCATGGTTAACAACCATCGAATATTCAAGCAAAAACACCATTAGAAACATCTGGTATAGCTGAAAACACCTGTCTTCGTAAAGAGAGAAAAGTAATGCAGGTCGTTATTGAAGTATTAATCAGACGGACATTAAACAAACAACGATCTACGACTGCGATCTGTCGGCCTTTTATTTTATGTGTAAAAAAATATCATATGTATAATAATAATATTAAATAATAATATTAAATCATCTTTAAGTCATATTCTTTGGTGTTTTAACCTTTTTATCGCTATTTTCTTACTTATTGTTACACAGACGGATACGAATATATACTGTGAGCGCTGCGAACAGTAGCCTGGGAACGAGACAAATGAATGAGTGTCTCGCGGGGATGCTCGCGCCGCCGGTAGTCGGGGCGGAAACTGTCACATTCACCAGGGGCAGCACTCGAGCTGCCAGCCGCAGCGCAGTCGTGGCCACATATTAGCGATTTCGGAATGGTGGTAAAAATGGTGTTTTTTTTTGTTTTCTGTAAAAAGAAGTCCCTGGAAAATGTACATTTGAGCTAATGATAAGACAATGGAAAAAGCAGTTAGATTGGCAGCGTCGCTAATCTTAGTTGGCTACCCCCCAGCACTGTCAGGAACATCTGAGCGCACTCATGCCGCACACTTAACACTGAACTGAATGTAAAACCGTTTCAGAAGTTAACACAGTTCATAATAAACTCATACTCTAGAGAGCGCTCTAGTTCAACCCAAGGAAGGGTATTTCTTAAATTAAAATAGGGGTGATCATTAGCTGCTTACGTACCAGACTGGATGATTTCAGATGGGAGAGGTTTACTTTTAAAGGTCAAGCTATGTTTAAAAGAGGTTTACTTTTGAAGGTCAATAACTGACACTGAAATTAAACATTGTTTGTGTGTCCTCTGCGTTTACTGGCATGCAGATTTTTTTTATGAATAAACAGAACCTGGAGAGATCCAACCTAAAGAAATATCACCCTTTCCTATATAACAAAGAACAACACTGTGATCCTTGTTTTTTGAATAAACAGAAGACAAACATTTTGAAGCAGCACAATGAGAAACAAAACGTTCATTCAAAAAAGATACAGTATGTGTGTGCGTTTAGATTTGTAGAAACACAAGCAGAAAAATCTGAATAATATAAGTTATGTTTAAAAATATGATGACTGGCAACTTCAGGATATATAAGACACTAAACATAATATACTGAAAATTCTGTTAAAAGTGACATTTACTTATCACATTCACTCTTAAAAAACAGCTGCTTAATAACAGCTATTAGTATTAACTATTGTTCATATTTTCTCTACAGCTGCACAGTAACAGGTTTGTTGATTGGAAGACCATCTTTCTGTAAACTTGAACTGTGATTAGCAACTTTAGGTGTGAACAGAAAATGCTGTTTTATATATCTTGCAGTGAGAAAGCTTCAGAAAATGATAATGGTAAACTGGTTTTTCAGGAAGTACCATTTAGTTAAAGATGAAATGGGTTGTAACCATAGAAACACAGTCATTGGTGGTTTGCTGGGTTGTGTGTGCTACCAGTTGCTTCACTCACTCCACAGAGACTGTTATAAAGTTATTAGTGGTGTGCAAACTGGACTTGTAATCCAAAGACTTTGAACTCTGGGAAATTTATTTTTGTTTTTTTCTTTGAGAAAGGTATTTATTTTCAGTTGCAACAGTAAACATCTAGCTTTTTGAATGTATAATAAGCTAATGTATTCGGTAGCAGCTAGAACCATTAAAGTTACACAGCTATTCTACTAAAAAAAAATGCGTATGCTTATGTCCATGCATTAGAGACCATCCAGATCGATTTCCAGGAACTCATGGAAACATACCTCACTTATTAAGTTTATTTTCACCATTTTATCCTCTTTCAACCATTTTTGTAGTTAATCATCATGATTCAAAGTTATGCAGCACCGTTTATTAACGACAAAACACACAAACTTCAAAAACAAATGACTTTTTAAATTGTTACAAATTACTTCTGAAATCGTTGCAGTAAGCTCATAACACTTCAGTAAATAGGCAAATGCTAAATTTTTTGAGTTTTAATCTCCAGTAACTTAGTCCCTGGGCTGGCAGGTAAGTATTGCAAAATTTACAAAACAAAATACATGGCCTTATTGACAATTATGCAAAGCTGCATGTCAACATCTTTTATAGGTATCAGGGTGTATGACTTTTCTTTGATCATTTTGATCATTGTCTGAAAAGACCGGAATACTGTTCAAAAGGGATGGGAAACTGGTTTGACAAAATATATCATGCCACAGCACGCCATTACTAACTTTACAGCCTTTGTGTATCTGAAAGGTCAGTCTACTGTTCTTCAAAACTAAGCTGTAAGGCTGTAGACTACTACTGAATTTTATTTGTTTGTTTGTTTGTCTGATTATTTATTTCGCTAGTTTACATATATACCGAATAGAATGGACATATATTTTTCTTATATATTCCGGTACTAATGATTTAAAAACATCATTCAGATAAAGTGTTTTATATTCACTGCATGCTATATGGACTGAAATGTGTTTTTTCCACAGCTTGTAACTGTGCATGAAATTCACAGTGCCGTACAATAAACAACAGTTCAGATAACACGCCCTCTATTGACGCCACACCTATAGTGGTGCATTTACGGGACTTTATTGAAAGAGTATGTGTTGCGTAAGTCTGTTAGCTATCGTCGATATTTAGCAATGTATTTTAGAGTGTCGCCAAATGACGTAGGAAAAAATAATGGATACATATAGGACGATAAACAATTATGTGACCTGAAGAAGTTACATCTCACACTAACACGCTTGATATGCTCTGTAGAAAACGAAAGCAAACTTGGTACATTTTATTGCAGTTAGAAAAAAATAATATTACACTAATTAATGTAACTTTAAACGTTCAATTTGTAATTTTATTTCCATGCCTACAGGAAATTAACTCACTTGTACGACAAAAAGGTGATGCCTTTTGTGTAGTTTAACAGAAAACGAATATCAAAATCACTTTAAACCTTTTCCCCCCAAATGTTAATTTTTAGATTAAATTAAATGAAAGAAGTATGGAAGGAATGTATCTTTTTGTTTCCATCAATCCTTCTTCCATACTGATTATCCATTACATGCCGGCAGTGAGCTTCAGATATGTGGCGGGGCACGGGATCATGCATTATGAAGTGCAAAACCACCGATTCACCTAACCACCTCTTTTTGGACTGCTGGAGGAAACTGCATTACACAGCCCGAAGAAAACCAGCACAATCATGGAGAGGACATGCAAGGTTCATATACACACGCGCGCACACACACACATAAACACAATGCTTTAAAGACTTTAAATCACAATATGCGGTCCTACCTTACTTTCGTAACAACGTATAACTAACTGTATAGATCAAGCACTAAGTCCTTTGGTTTTCATAGCACTTGGGTCACCGAACATGCAAATAAACAGGCACATGTCCGATGGATATGCTTAGTAAGTAGACAGGTATGCGTTTCTTTTTAGCTTATGCAATAGCGACTTTCGACATCGTTATTGTCATTACAGTGATGTTTACAGTGGGTCGGCAGTAGTGTGTGCAGTCAGTATATTTTCACAATTTCAAATGACATGCAGTTTTATTTAAAAAAAATGGTCACATTGTGTTCGTGAGTGTATGTGTGTGTTATAAAAAAAATTAAAACAGTCGCTTAATATGGTTGTGAAAGGTAGGCCTACATGTAAATAAAACAGGACTTGATATACGTTCCGCTGGTGTACATTGGTTTACCCTCACAATAGAACTGGACTGACCTTTTGGCCGAGGAGTATGAAAGTCAGCAAAATGTATCGTGGGATTCCCCCCCCCCCCCCCCCATCTATCGCTATGGTTGTTACAGATATTTCTGATGTAAATTATAACTGTAAGACACGGCAGGTCACGAATAGTTTCATCCGTCCTCATCATTTAGTGTTTTTATTGTGGAGGCAAAGCCCCCCAACATGTTTTTCCCCAAAGAACACAGTCAGCCGAAGTCAAACTTAAAATTATTGACCACAACTTGATGAATATTACTAACATTAATTTAATAGAAAACCGATTAATTACGTTCCCACGGCTTAACTGACATTCAAAGGTGAGTAGATATTATATGTCTTTTCCCTTTTTACGTTCACGTCACACAGCACAGCCAAACTCTCCCGAATAAGCGTTGAATTCAACTTGTCTGACCGGCCTAAAATAACGCAATCATTTTGCTGCTTTAAACGATCAGACGCGCCCAAACAAAACAGCACCGAAAGCACAAAGTGATCAGATGCTGGTTAAAACGCCGGAGTATTTGAGAACTCATTGAAAATAAAATATAGGACGAAAACCTACATTATGGAAAGCCGAAAGGAGAAAGGGTGAGTTAGTTGTTTTGATTTAAATATATTTACTAATAGTTAAACTATATGTTTAAATACAAGGGTTCTACTGGTTGTAATGTGAATGCATGGTATTGATGATATAAGTAGATAGTTGTTGGTCTTTGTTGGAACAAATGTTCAGTGTAAGGGATTCAGATTTCTGGGGGAAAACGTGATGACATTTTTGTAATGTCAGTTACGTGGACATGTCTGTATATTGATATGCGTAAAAACTTGTTTCCCAAACGTTTTGCTGGTTGATATAACGAAGTAGGTGTCGGAATATGGTTCACGGGAAATATTACTTGCAATTAACTGCTATAGTTGCATATTTTATGGATGTAACAACAGTGCTTACACAGTAGGAGATTCTATTGTGATGGGCAATTTTAAGCATAAAATATTTAAAAATCATTGAAGCTCACCCGAAGGAAATGAAGCAGTCCTCCAATGTTTTATATTGTGCCAGTTTCATTGTATATTATCTCGGATAATTAAATTTAATTAAAAAGGCATATTTATGAATTGTAAAAAGATTGTGCTGTCATGAAGTGAATTTATATGAACATTTCGTTGTATAAATATATCTTAATATTATTTCAGATTTTCTCCTTTCAAGTCACCAGGAATGAGGAAGACAGTAGAAATTGTGATTATACTAGGTGAGTTCACTAGTACATTATAATGATGTAAATAATGATGTAGTGTTTATGATAAATGCAGTTAAACATTACGCAGACATAACAATTAAATGTTAAAAACCTGCTAAAGCCGAAATGCTGATAAATTGTATAATTAATGAAATAAATATTATTATTTTTTTCAACAGTATGTATTTACTTGCAAGCAGAAGAAAGCAAAGGGTGAGTATTAAAAGAACTCTTAGACTGAATATCATACAATTTATTCTAAGAATTAACTAAATATGTCAATACAGAACGTCAGCTACAATAACAACTATGACAAGTACAACAATTGGACCAAGCGCTACAGCAACCAACACTGTATCCACTACAACCACGAAGGAACAGACGACTACCACTACATCAAGCACAACTGCATCAACTACAACACCAACTACGACCACTACAACATCTACAGCAGCACCTACCACTACATCGAGCACAACTGCATCAACTACAACACCAACTACGACCACTACAACATCCACAACGACACCTACCACTACATCGAGCACAACTGCATCAACTACAACACCAACTACGACCACTACAACATCCACAGCGGCACCAACCAGTACATCCAGCACAACGGCAACAACTACAACACCAACTACGACCACTACAACATCCACAGTGGCACCAACCACTACAACGAGCACAACGGTAACAACTGCAACACCAACTACGACCACTACCACATCCACAGCGGCACCAACCAGTACATCCAGCACAACGGCAACAACTACAACACCAACTACAACCACTACAACATCTACAGCGGCTCCTACCACTACATCGAGCACAACGGCTTCAACTACAACACCAACAACGACCACTACAACATCCACAGCGGCAGCAACCAGTACATCCAGCACAACGGCAACAACTGCAACACCAACTACGACCACTACCACATCCACAGCGGCACCAACGAGTACATCCAGCACAACGGCAACAACTACAACACCAACTACAACCACTACAACATCTACAGTGGCGCCAACCACTAAAACAAGCACAACGGCATCACCTACAACACCAACAACGACCACTACAACATCCACAGTGGCGCCAACCACTACAACGAGCACAACGGCATCAACTACAACACCAA